TTGCTTCTCTAATGGTCAGCTCACAGAATGGCTCCCAGTTTCCAAACATCTGCAAAAGAGTTCAGCCACAGAGACAGGAAGCCAAGGTTCTAACTTCAGGAGGTTGCATCAGACTTCTAAAGAAGCAGCTCTTGAGGGATTTCAGAAATTTATCCCCAGAATCCAACCAATTGTCAACCTTGATTTAAGGTGTGCATTCCTACAGACAGGCAGCAGTACAATTAAATGTTTTTAACCAACACTCCAGTATTGGTTGGACTTAGGGGCAACAAATGAATTACATAACTAGAAGCTCCAACTGCTGTTTATTTATTTATTTTTACCTTAACACTACAAAACCAATGGTGCAGTGTGACTGCGACTCAAAACACGTGGATACGGATGAGCATAAGTGTGTATTTAGGTAGTTATACTATTCGCAACAAATTACTTGTGAGTGAAGGCAGGTGCAAAGATAGTAGAGGTCTTGATTGGAACATAACAATTAATAACCCATTCAAAGAACAGAGAAAAGTGGAACCAACTGAAATTCAAAATGGAAAGTGGGGCTGGAAAATGAGTTGGAAACTCATCTATGATTAGGGACACATGGAAATTGTCATCTCTGTTCCAGATTGTCAAGTGCCTTCCATGTCTGCTCTTTGACAGAATTGGGCAAATGTGTTTGTGCACATTTGCACAAATTCACACTTGTACAATTGTGCACTCCCCAGAATGCAAAATTCCCCCCACAAAATGCACAAGTTTCTGAAATATGCATATTTTCACACTTTAGCCTATGAGGGATGTACGGCTTTGGTCCATGCTTTTTTCTTTGTTGTGTTTTTCTATGATTAAATTTCTGCATGGAAGAAATGGATAAAAGTCTACGAAATCTGTCCAACTCAGGAAAAGCTGGTCTGCTTTAGACTCCACAGATCAGATCCTTAGAAATTTGACCTCACTGAATCCGTTACAGATTCCCCCACCATCCCTACTTATGATTAATGGCACTGCAACTACTGCTTTGTTTTGGCAAGAGAATGAACAATGCTTCACAAAGCAAGAGGTGAAGACGGAGACTTTGTATTCTTGCCAAAGGACGCAAAGACGCTTTTGGGAAGGAGCCTGCGCTCAGTTAGAACAAACACAATCCACGCAGAAGGTCTCAAGTTCAACTTCCAGCATGCACAATGAAAAGGATTGGGTGGTGGGAAACCCCACTGCCTGGGACCCTAGAGAATTGCTACCAGTCAGCCAGTACTGGCCTAGACAGTCTGATGATGCACAAGGCAGTTTTCTCAGTACAAAGAGCTCCAAATAGCATCCAGGAAGTTTACAGAACCAGACCTGATCCCCTTCTGCAGCAGAGCCATGTTGCATATGTGTAGCCAGAAAAAAGGCTGCAATTCCAGTCGTGATGTGCCCTTCCCTGGTTTTAACCTGATGGTTGCTAAAAGACAAGTTTGAAGGGCGTGATGTGGATTACCCTGCATTAGCGTCGTAAGTCCTTCTGGGTCCATTTACTCATTCACATGACTGGATTTTCATTGGCAATGTGCAAAGGGAAATGTTTTACTTCTGGTATTTTTAGCAATGACAGCTTCATATTCCCAAGGCCACCTTTCCTTCATCAAAATGCACACACCTCGTTGAGGATTCCCCAAATAGAACCACACCATCAGAGCGGTATGCTGAGCAATGTAGCCAGGCAACCGCGGCTGCTGCCAGACTGAGGGCTCATTCACACTGGAGGCTGCAGTGTAGCTCTTGGCCCGGGATCCTTTTTGCCTGTTTACGTGGCACTGCCAACAGGGATCCAGCTACGTGCGCAGCATGTGCTGGCAGATCCTGCAGATAAGAAGGAGCAGCCCACATTTTAGTGTGCAAAGTATCCAGCGTCATGTTCAAGGGTCCAGAAACAAGTAGAAAGGATATTTTGATCACAATGCTTTGTGGGTCTCCACATCAGCAGTGGGAATTGCGGGACTTTCCAGATGTTTCCTCCAATCTTAGGTTTGGTTTGTCCTGAGCTTTGAATTTTTTTCTTTTTTGGAGAGGCTTTGGTTCTGGGTGGTATAAAAATGAGATAAATAAATATATAAAGTATTTAATGTTTTGCAAGGATATCCATAAACATTATTGAGCACATTCCCCAAATATATGCATTTTTGCATTCATTTTTGCCTAGCATGCATTTTCAGCAAGCAACTTTCCTAACATACTGCATTTGGAGGCTGTTTTACCATAATACCCTTTTTTTTTTTGCAAAAATATTATTCACAATTTTTGATTGGACAACCCCATAACAAAATGCAGAGGAGTGTGTATTTTGAACAATAATTGACTTTTGAGTTGCACGGTGGTTCAACAGTGCAAAACTGAACACACATCTGCCTATTCCTCCTTGGAATAGAACAACCAGAAGACCACATGCTCCCCATTCCAGTTGTTCAGCACTGATTAAATTAGGGTTCAGTGAATGGATACTCAAAATCTCACCTCTGATTCGCAGGAAGAAAGTGAGCCAGGGAGATTTTGAATGTCCAAGACCTCAGTGATTTTGAGGAGTAGACAATGAAATGGCTTCCTCTCCACTCCTTTCCTCTTGTTTAACAGGGAAAAATATGTCATTTGCTGCGGGTGATTATTATTTTTATCCATCTTCGGAAATGGGCAGCTCTCTGTATATGTAATCTCCCCTTATGTACTCCACTTCACCCTGCTTTGATAGCTGAAACGGACAAAGAAATTGACCAGGCAAGGCTAACCAAGATCCACCTCCATCTAGTTCCCAGTCATTGCATTTGTGCACATTTCTTTGTGGGTGCCTGCCACACACATGTGTGTGTGTGTGTTTTACACTGTCAGTAACTGCACCACCAATTACTATGAAAAGGAGCCATTAAAACAGGGAGATGGAAGCTCCTCCCTTTCTGGACCCCCAGTGGATTTGGGGGAATGTTGAAATGGAACGTGACATTCAGAAGTGCCAGTTCAACACTTAAACAGGAAAAAGAATCACATCCTTCCCCAGGAGAGAGAGATTGCCCTCCCTCTTCCCTTTGATGCAGCGACTGCGTGACTCCCCTTCCGCAATTTTGGTCCTTCTTACTTGTGCTACTGGGTCCCTCCTAGAAGAGTGTTGTTCCTTCAGTGAAGCTTCAGAATTGCCTGCAACTTAGCTAATAGGCAGCCTTACTTTGTCAACACTCACAGATGGCCAGAGGGTCATTTATTGGCATTATTGGCACACCTGCAAAGGACCAATAAAATAGGAATAGTACTAGCAATCACTTGCACATTTCTGAAGTTCTGAAAAATACATTTTTAAAAACCCAGGGACAGGTTGCAGTTCTCCCAAAGTGTTGTTCCAGCCTTGGCAGAAGAGCAGTCACTGCAAGATGGGAAAGAGCCAGTGCTGAGGCCGGCCAATGGAGTCAAATTGGCTCATTTTACGTCCTTTAGAGAGCCATCCTATGGCCCCTGGGCGGGCATCCTAAGAAGCAAGGGACAGAGCAGAAACAACCCCTATAATCAGGGTGAGTGTTCCAACCATGGAAGAGGGAACCAGGGACCTGTCCCTGCCCCTCACAGCTGTGCCAGCTGCCTCTCCAGTTGGACCTGGAAGGAGCAGGAAAAGGGGGACTCCAGTGAGTGGGCATGGAGCCAGCACAGCCAGCAGCCCAGAGTGATGAGAACTGTGGTCCGACAAACACAAGGCTGGGTACCACTTTGGGAGAACCAGATCCAGCCAGGAGCAGCCGGCTCTCTCTGAAACCACAGCTGAACTTTAGAGTATGCCCATCACCAGGAACTGTGGCTAAAGGTGGGAGCTTCTCTGCATGAGCCTGAAAGAAGAGAGAAGGGAGGGGCAGCCCCCTGCTCACCAGCATTCCTTCAATCAAATTTCCACTCATTGGTGTGAGGTAGGTATTCTTATAGGAGTGAATGCAATTACAGGGACTGCTTTGGTGTGAAAATTAACATGCCATAAGAAGATTATGAGGTTATAGAATGCTCATGGATATGATGTTGAAAAATAATACTTGTCTTCCTGGAATGAATGAGCCTGCCTTGTTTGACCATCAATACCTGTGCAGTTTGGTAAATCTGCTTATTCTTTTATAAAGAACCCACCCAAATCATTAGTTCTTCATCTATCTTTAGATAGGATTGAAGAGCAGAATTGATAAACTTAAAGTAGTATGGAAGACAATCAGGAGAGAATTAAGCACTCACTTAACCAAATCCAGTTGAAATCCACAGAATCAAAGCCATTTAACTTTGGCTGGATCACGCTCATTTGTTGACTGCCTGCAGGGAGAATAACAAGATGGTCTTCACTAATGGCTGGCGAGCTCTTCCCTAGACGTGTCTGATTTGCTATCAGATCTTTTTCTGGAAGATTGTCAATTGCTTCTATCTGAGTCAAGGATTAGCTCTGCACACCTTCTACCACATCATGACCTGGCAGGCCAACTTCTCTTGTAGTGTTCTCTGTAAAACGAAAACAAGGAGCAGTCTTTCTGAGAGTGTCCCTCACTCTCTTGTAGGTATCCAAGAAATGTTTCAACACTTTATTCACAGAGCAGCAGGCAAGTTTCTTCCATAAACCGTGTTTGTGTGCACAGGAGCAAACAGACTGCAAGACTCAGTAATGTTCCCTGATATAGCTACTTGCATATGTTGACCCAGGGAGACTCCCACTGGCCCAACATACTGAATGGAACTGAACTGGAGAAAAAAATGGGATGATATTTCTGTCCCACAGCTGCCAGCAAGCTCACATGCCTCATGAGTCATTCCAGATGTGGCTATAAAACAGAGCTCGCCTGTGCAAATGAATTCCCCGATCCCTAAGAGACGTCGTCGAAGGCGAGGTGCTGCTACTTAATTTCATCTTTTAAAAAAGTGTGTGCTGCGAATTTTTCCCAGCGGAAGGAAAAGGATCAAAAGTAACAAGCTGCCCCCAACACACGCAGGAGGTTGGAGAGGAAGGCCTAAGCCCTCTTTTTCGGGGAGACCGAGGATGCACTGGGAGAGTCTATTGCTGCTCTTGCTATATTACAATGCGCACGCCACTGTGCCCCTGAGGTGGAACCGAGGTAAGCATTCTAAATCTGACTTGCTTGCAGCAGAGAAGTTGCGTGCAGGTGTGGTGCTTGATCAAGTGAAGAGTGCTTTCCCCCACTCCACCAGAAACCTCCACGACTTCTTGAAAGTGCTTTCTTTATTCTACCTCTGTTTATGATTCCGAGCCGTTAAATGGAAGACTGCTTCCCCCCTCCCTGCTTTTCGCTTTTCTGAGCAAAAGAAAATTAAATCAGATTCGTCATTTCCAACTGTGAAACTATTGCATCTGTATCTGGACTGAACTCCTATAACCAAGCATGGCTAATTTTGTTCACCCAGACTGCAACTCTGTGGGCAGGAGACCTCAGCTCACCCTTTGCTGAGCCCAAGCCTTTGCGGATCTCTGTTTAAGTCGGGTTGATTTTAAACACATTGTATTGGAATGCAATCTCAGTCTCTCCATTCTTTACAATGTAAAAAAGGAAGATCCATTTGGAAATATCTAGCTAGCTTATATTCCACAATTAAATTAGACTCAATGGCTCTCTAAGTGGATTACAAAAATACCGATAAAAACAAAATATTTATTGATCTATCTCACCCTCCAACCTGCTCCTACTGCACGTTTAGTTTAAATGTATCCAGCCACAGCCCCTGATTAGTTATATATTAGAATCTTTTCTTTCAGAGCAATCGTATTACACCTGTGCACTTGTGAGACATTACAACATTGTCCCACCTCACTTGGTAGTATAAAGATGTGCATTTTCAGTTGCAAAAATTGTTTGAACACCTCGAACACTGTGCGTCATCTAACACAGGTCTTTCAGCAAGCCTGATGGGGGGCTTTAGAAAATTTGCAAGGCATTTGTAAATCCATTGGATGGTAATGAGTGGAGAATTCTTCTACTATTAAAAAAGGAGCCTGGAAGATTTCACATCATGGTGTGCAGAGGGTGCTGTGCTTTTCTTTAATGCAGGCTCACATGGAATGGTTGCTTCCATGAACCTGTAAGAAAGAAAGCGACTTTGCTTTCTAGGCGACCCAAAACTGAATCAAGCCAGTGACATCTGTAGGGATGAATGAATAATGCATATAAAAAGGTGTGCCAGCATCCCTATTGTTAGCATCGTGCTTTGGTGACTGCTCCAACCTGCAGCCCATGCAAGGAGTCCAAAGCTACTCTGCTTGACTGTGGCTGCTACATGGCCAATGGGCTGCTGTTGCACATGCGGAGCCTTGATAAAAGAGGAAGGGCAACCCAGAACCAGTGTGCTAATGCTTGGCTGGAAGACGGTACCCAGTGTGGGGACAGGAGAAGGCATGGGTGCCCCCCACCCCCAGGAGCTGCTGTCTGCTTAGCAGCCAGCCAGACAGTGCTGAAATTTTGTTAAACATTTTTACAGAAGTTGACTCTGGGTGACTCTGCACAGGCTTGTGGCATGATCTGTTAAGGGTGCTAGATTCTCCCCATCTGTTCAGTAAGCCACCACACAACTAGGACTGGGGAAGAAACTCGTTTAGCACCTGATTCCCCTTGCAAAACCCGTGCACAACTCAAAACGAGGTAGTTCCTGGCACTTGCATGTCTCCAAATGCTGGATTGTCTTACAAAATGTTTATAATGGAAAAGTTTGCACAAAAATGTTTATATTCATGAAAACATCACCTAGAAGTGCATTGCTTTAGGAAACTTGCTCAGAAAAAAATTGTATCTTAGGCAAAATTGTGTGCATTGGAAGAAATGCACACAAAAAATACGTATGAATTTTCATTTTTAGAAAGCATTCTCTAAGTTCAAGAAGAATGAAACTGAACTCTGGAAAAATTGAGAGAGAACAAAATTGATGGATTGCTCCATCCCTGCATGCAACCTGCCATTGCTGGTCTCTAAGGATTAATGTTGTGGCAACAAGGGCTGTACCCTACACATTCTCAGAATGGGAGTACAGTATTCCTTAATTTTTTCTGAAGAAAGGGCAGACTAAGTGTTTTTAGACATGTGCAGACTATCACTGGTCTAATAACCAGCAGCAGCAGCAAAAGAAAATACCTATATATGGCAAATGCCCCTGCATAGAAATGCCCATCTACGTCAACATTAAAAGACTTAACTGGGTACTTCATTAGGACCAGTCAAACATGAGCCTAATTCCATGGTCTCACCTCTCCCTTGGAGGACCAGAGCAAGGATAGTATGAAAGAGGCATTTCCCCTGGAATTTCCTCCAGAAGACTTTTGCCATGAGGTGGACTAAAAATACAGCAAATAAATAAATTCTGCTGAGATTAAAATATTCCATAAACTTGAAAAAGCTCCCTGGAAAGGTTTAGATTTTGCTACTGAATCTGACTGTATTTGATGATTCATTTAGCTGATGATTCACAGTGAAAGTGGCTTATTCAGTTCAGGGTGTATTGGTCAGTTTGAGTTCTATTTAGTTAAATTTGAGGTCTATTTAGTTTCTTTTATACTGTCTTACCTCATTTAATTTCTTCACTGTTATTTGGCACTGAATCTAAGCTAGCCTATTTATGTAGAACTGCTTGCAATGGAGAAGGAAAACACTTCCTCACCAAAATTTTGGGACGCACCCTAAATCCACAGGTTTTCAAGGGAATTTTGGCACAAAGTAGGAGATATATTTGTCCTTTCAAAAATTCCAGCAACAACGTAGCCTTTGCTTGAGTCTTTGAATTGAGTCTCTTCATAGAACCACAGAGCTAGAAGAGGTCTTATAGGTCATTTACCGCACCCCCTGGCTTGATCCAGGAAATCCAGAGCCATCCAATATATGCTTGAAGACCTTCAAAGAAGTAGGACCACCTTCTCTCAAAGACAAGATCATGACTGGTGACTCTATCAGTTCCTCTTTCTCTCACATTCATTTCTTTTAAATTTCAAGTTCTGTCTCTCTCAAATATGCAAAACTGCTAGAAGAAGGGGAAGTTCAAATATGAAGTGGATCGATTTCGTAAAGGAAGCCACAGGCTTCAGATTACAAGAGCCGAGCTGTCACGGCCAGGGCGTTTTGGGGGACATTCAATCATGGGGTCGCCATAAGTCAGAGATGACTTGATGGCACATAACAGCAGGTCCAAAACACCTGAAACCCCAGGCCATAAAAACCACCTCTCAGCAATGGGTTGCATTGACAATTGTGCTCTCGGGTAACAAAGAACAAGTCTTTGCTCTCTTTTATGTGACACCCCTTCAAATATTTACAAAGTTCTACCATGTTCTCCTCAGGCTTCTTTTCTTCAAATTTAACACAGCAATTTCCTCCACCCTTTCCTTGTTGCTGACACTGCTCACTGTCCTTTTTTGGAATTTCTCTACAATTACCCTAGTGTACAGTGCCCAGAAGTAGACACCATGTTTTGTTGTAGCGCCTTTGAGATGCATCACCTTGATTGCATCAATTATAAGAAACCTCGGTGCTTTCACTTCCTAAGATTTCCCAGCAAAAATGGGAACACAGCAGTCACTTTTACAGTTCAAAGGTCCTTCTGTTCTTCAATGTGACTGTTTTTCCAAGAAGCAGAAAAAGAGTAATGATCCATTGTCAACCATAGCCTCTTTTGACTCAGGAGAATTGGGACGGAGTATATTAAGGACAGATGTCTGTAACGATTAACATGCAGCATTCTCTGTGGAATGAGGAATGTGTGGTTACTGACATTTCAAAAATGTGATAGCTTGCATGGAGCCAAAGCAGCTAAGATTAAAAAATGCAAACATCAGAAATGTGGTAGATATCTCTGGTACTACTCTACTGATTAAGATTCCCACGATTCAGCATTTGACACAAAGTGTCAGCATTTCAATGACCTTCTCTGCATCTCTAGGATGAGACTGGAACATTCAGGGGATCTCTTTATCCCCTTGGCATAATTCCTGGTTTGTGAGCCATAAAGCCACCTCTGTGGCAAAGCCAACAAGTTCTGGGGATATTTTTGTCCCACATTGGGAATAATAAGAGGCTTAAATTTGGGGACATTGTGCATGGGACAGAAAATAACAATGTCCTGTGTGGTTTCTGTCGTAGGCCTATTTCTTTGTAAATTCTGCAAGGAAAAGGGCATGTGGAGATAGCCCTTTCGGCTGTTCCGTTTAAGCATGATTAAAACCTGACCAAGTTAAGCCCTCCTTCCCTGTCTTCCTAAGGCAGATGCTTATGCATGAGTGATGCAATCCAAAAGAGAAAGGAGTAGCATGCAGCTTCTCTCAAGATCCTGGTACGTGGGGACATCCAATGAAAGTGATTGGCAGGGGATGCTGGACTGGTAAAAGAAAACATGTGGTTACATGATGCATCATTAAGCTGTGACTCCTGAAGCTACCATGGGGGATTGCCACTAGCTTATATGAGTTTGCAAGGGCACTAGACATACTAGAGAGGTCTTTTTTCTTATCCTGTACCTCCACAGTGGCTTCCACATGTTCAGTACAGTCCCTGCCTGTAGACTCACAATCTAAAAGCCATAATGCACAAGCGAGAAGGGACGTGGAAGAAGCAGAAGAAGGGCTGGTACAATGGCCCGATTTCCTCCTCTCCTCTCACTCCCATCATCCTGCCGGAATGACTAATGCTGGTGACAGTTGAGGGAAGAGGAGCCTTCCTCGGGGAGGGATTCAGTAGGGGTGCCTTTGATGGCCCCTTCTTATTATGGTTACGTGGAGCTCCTGGGTAGTAGGCCATGGTGTTGTTCTGTTAGTGCAAATGGCATTGTGCTACTAGAAACTAGGGGATGCACAAGAGGGGAATTCAGCTAAGTTACGTGTGTGCAAGTATGTGCAACTCATTGTGCAGAACTCTAGTGCAAGCTTGCCAGGCATCTCTCAAGTGCGACCCACTGTGCAGCCAGCCTGTTGGGGCTCTGCTAGTGCTACTGGGGTTTGTTGAATGGCACAGCTGGATGCTCCCCCTTGAGTTCAGAGGCAGTGAGCCTGCTTCATGGGAGCAATAGCGGGAGGGAGCCTTCATGTTCTGCCTGTGTGATTCCCAAAGGAATTTGGTTGGCCACTGTC